AAATAATGAATACTGGTAATGGTAATGACACAGGTAAATGAAAAAATATTAATGTATTTTTTGGGTATTTAATGCCTCTTTTTTTCTGTATGATTTAAAAGACAACTACACCAAACAATAACTACAACTGTATAGATGGGCACAATATATATATAGATGTCAGTTTTTACAATAACAACTTGAGGGTGGGTGATGGAGCGATACAGGTACTAAATTTTTATATACTACTGAAACAGTGTTAATTCAAACTAGATTGTATAAATTAAGATGTAAATTGTAATCCTGGAAAAACCACTAAGAAAATTACTAAAAAATAAGTAGTAAAAGAAGCAAGAATGGAATCAGAATGATACACTTAAAACCATCTATAGGCTCAGCCTGTAATCCCAGTTGGGAGGCTGAGGTGAGTGGATTGCCTGAGTCCACGGATTCAAGATCAGTCCTGGCAACTTGGCGAGACTTCATCTCTACAATAAATAAAAAATTAGCTGGGTGTGGTAGTGTGCGCCTATAGTTCCAGCTATTTGGAAGGCTGAGGCAAAAGGATTGCCGGAGCCCAGCAGGTTGACACTGGGGTGACTGTGAGTGTGTGTGCCACTGTACTCCAGCCTGGACAATGGAGTGAGACTCCAACTAAAAAAAAGAAAAAAAAAAACCCACCAAAAAACCCATCTGTAACACATGGAAGAATTGAGGCACAAAATATATATTTAGAGGAAAAAATAGCAAAGTGGCAGAAGTATTTCCTTGTTTGTAATTACTTTAAATGTAAATAGAACAAACTCTCCAATTAAAAGATAGAGATTGTCAGAATGGACTAAAAAGACATGTTACAAGGGATCAGGACATTATATTCTGAAAGTGAAGTCTAAAAAATCTGTTATGACATAACAGTTATGTTAATAACTGATTCCATTCTTGCTTCTTTTACTACTTATTTTTTAGTAATTTTCTTAGTGGTTTTGCCAGGATTACAATTTACATCTTAATTTATAACAATCTAGTTTGAATTAACATAACAGTTATAAACACATATGCACAACAAAGGCCCCAGAAAGTTTGAAACAAACATTGAATGGAGAAATAATTCAGAACTAATAGAGACCTCAAAACCCCACTGTCCCTACTGGATAGGACAATTAGACAAAAGATAAATAAACCGAAAACTGTATACTACAAAACAAGTAAACCTAACAGACATACTTATAAAACCTCTCACCCAACAACAGAATATACATCTTAAGTGCACACAGAAATTCTCCAGATAGAACACAACACAATATAAATAAACTTTAAAAATCTGTCCACAATGGAATGAAGTTAGAAATCAGCAACAGAAGAAAATCTGGAAAATTAACAATGTGGAAATTAAACAACACACTCTTTAAAAAACAAAAATCAGCAGCCGGGCGGAGCGGCTCACACCTATAATCCCAGGACTTTGGGAGACAGAGGTGAGAGAATTGTCTGAGCCCACGGGTTGGAGACCAGCCTGGGCAACGTGGCGAGACCTCGGTTCTACAGTAAATCAGAAAATAGCTGGTGCACACCTGTAGTTCCAGCTACCTGGAAGGCTGAGGTGGAAGGATCGTCCACTCTGGGTGATAGAGTGAGACTCCAACTCAGGAAGAAAAAAAAAAAAAAAAAAAAATCAATGGGTTGATAAAGAAATCACAAGGGAAATTAGGAAATGCTTTGAGATTAATTAAAATGAAAGCACAAAATACCAAAACTTATGGTATCCAGTGAGAATTTATAGCTGCAAATACATTTTTAAAAAATACTGAAACTGATAACCTAAACTTACACTTTAAGGAATTAGAAAATAGAGAACACTAAGCCCAAGGCAGCCAGAGGGTAAGAAATAATAAAGGTTAGAGTGCAGATAAATGAAATAGACAATAGAAAAATAATAGAATCAATAAAACAAAAAGTGGTTCTTTGAAAATTTTACAAAATTGACAAAGCTTCAGCTACACACACACACACACACACACACACACACACACACACACACACACACACACCAGACTCAGTTACTAAAATTAGAAGTGAAAGTGGAGACATTACAACTTTACAAAAAATAAAGGATTATAAGAAAATAGTGGCCGGGCACGGTGGCTCAAGCCTGTAATCCCAGCACTTTGGGAGGTTGAGGTGAAAGGACTGCCTGAGTCCAGGGGTTCGAAACCAGCCAGGGCCACTTGGTGAGATGTTGTCTCTACAACAAATAAAAAAATCAGCCGGGTGGGGTAACATGTGCCTGTAGTTCCAGCTACTTGGAAGGTTGAGGTGGAAGGATCGCCGGAGCCCAGCAGGTCAAGGCTAGAGTGGCTGTGAGCAGTGTGCCACTCCAATCCAGCCTGGGTGACCGAGTAAGAGTCCTACTCAAAAAAAAGAAAAGAAAGTAAATACTATGAACAATTGTATACTAACTTAAATGGACCAATTCCTAGAGACATACAAATTACCCAGACTGACTCAACAACAAACAGCAAAGTATAAATGTATAACAAGTAAAGAGATTACATCAGTGATCACAAACCTCCCAACAAAGAAAGGCCAGGACCAGATAGTTTTGCTGGTAAATGATATCAAATGCTTAAAGAAGTCATGCAAATCTTTCTCAAATTCTTCCAAAATTAAAAAAATAAAGAAGGAGGAAATTCTTCCTAACTCATTCTATCAGACCAATATTACCCTGGCACTGAAGCCGGACAAAGACATCACAAGAAAATTATAGAACAATATTCCTTTTGAATATAGGTGCAAAAATGTTCAACAAATATGGTAACAAACCAAATACAGCATATTAAGAGGATTATACACCATAAACAAATAGAATTTATTTCAGGAATGCAAGGGTCATTTAATACTTGAAAATCAATGTAATAAATACATGTTATTTAAAAATAAACCAGGCGCGGTGGCTCACACCTGTAATTCCAGCACTTTGGGATGCTGAGGAGAGAAGATAGTCTGAGCTCAGGAGTTTGAGACCAGTCTGGGCAACTTGGTGAGACTTTGTCTTTATAATAAATAGAAAAAATTAGCTGGGCATGGTGGCACATGCCTGTAGTTTCAGCTAACTGGAAGGCTGATAGGATCACCTGAGCCCAGTGGGATGAGACTGCAGTGGCCGTAAGCGTGCCACTGCACTCCAGTCTGGGCAACAGAGTGAGACTCTGACTCAAAAAAATAAAAAATAAAGGGGAAAACCACATGATCATCTCAATCGAAGCAGAAAACTAATTGGAAAAAACTAACAGCATTTTGTGATTAAAAAAAGAAAGAAAGAAAACAGGCCGGGCTCGGTGGCTCAGCCTATAATCCCGGCACTTTGGGAGGCTGAGGTGAGATGAGTGCCTGAGTCCGTGGGTTCGAGACCCACCCAGGCAACTTGGCGAGACCTTGTCTATACAATAAATCAAAAAACTTAGCTAGGTGTGGTAGTGCGCACCTGTAGTTCCAACTACTTGGAAGGCTGAGGCGGAAGGATCACCGGAGCCCAACAGGTGGAGGCTGCGGGTGGCCGGGAGCATGCCACTGCACTCCAGTCTGGACAACAGAGTGAGACTCCAACTCAAAAAACCAAACCAAAACAAAACAAAAACCACATATACCTACACACTCAACAAACTAAATAGGGAAATTACTCAGCCTGAAAAGGGTCCTCTATGAAAGCCCACAACTAATGGTGGTGGTGGGAATATCCAATGGTACATCTGCAATGCAAAAGAGTTTGGTGGTTCTTCATAAAGTTAAATATCGAGTTACTATTTGACTCAGCAATTTTATTCCTAGGTGTAGGCCCAGAGAAATGAAAACATATATCTGCACAAAAACCTATACACAGATGTTCATAGCAGCATTATTCACAATAGCCAAAAAGCACAGACAGCCCAAATGTCCATCAATGGGTAAATGGATGAATAAAATGTGGTATATCCACACAATGGAACATTATTCAACCATCAAAAGGAATTAAGCTCAGATACATGCTACCGTATGGATGAACCTTGAAAACATTAAGCTCAAAAGAAGCCACATACAAAAAGCCACATATTGTATGATTCCATTTACTGTAGTCCCCTCTTATCCATGGGAGATACACATTCCAAGACCTCCACTGGATGCCTGAAACCATGGATAGACTAAGACTTATACAGACTATGGTTTTTCCTATACATAACATACCTATGATACAGTTTAATTTATAAATTAGGCACAGTAAGAGACTAACAACTAATCATAAAATAGAGCAATATGCCAGCATCATTACTCTCACACCTCGAGGTCATTATTAAGTAATATAAGTGTACTTGAACATGAGCACTGTCATGCTGTGGAAGATGAACTGATAACTGAGATGGTTACTGACTGTTGGGTGGGAATATGCTGGACAAAGGGAGGATTCGTGTCTAGGGTAGGACGGAGTGGGGCAGCGAGAGATTTCGTCTTGCTACTCAGAATGACGCACAATTTAAAACTTATAGATTGATTGGGCTCGGTGGCTCAGCCTGTAATCCCAGCACTTTGGGAGCCCGAGGTGAGTGGATTGCCTGAGCCCGTAGGCTCGAGATCTGCCCGGGCAACTTGGTGAGACCTCATCTCTACAACAAATCAAAAAAATTAGCCGGGCGTGGTAGCGCGCGTCTGTAGTTCCAGCTACTTGGAAGACTGAGGAGGAAGGATCGCCGGAGCCCAGCAGATTGAGGCTGCGGTGGCTGGGAGTGGCCACTGCACTCCAGCCTAGGTGACAGACTCCAACTCAAAACAAAACAAAACAAAACAAAACTTACAGATTTGGCTGGGCACAGTGGCTCATGCTTATAGTTCTAGCACTTTGGCAGGCAAGGTGAGAGTTTTGTTTAAGGCCAGGAGTTTTAGACCAGCCTGGGCAACATAGCGAACCTATAGGGAGGTTACAGTGAGCCACTCACGGTACTCCATCCTGGGTGACAGAGTGAGACCCTATCTCAAAGAAAGAGAGAGAGAGAAACTTGTGAATTGTTTACTTTTTGAATTTTCCATTTAACAGTTTTGGACCATGGTTGACTGCAGGTAACTGAAACCTCAGAAAGCCAAGGGTTGAGGGACTATTGTATTTAAAATGTCCAGAATCGGCAGGTTCCTAGAGACAGAGCTTAGTGGTTTCCCAGGGGCTGGTGGGAGGGGGGATGGGAGGTGACTGTTTAATAGGGACAGGGGTTCTTTGGGGGTTGATAAGAATGTTCTGGAATTACACAGTGCTGGTGATTGCACAACATTGGGAATGTACTGGAAACCTCTCAACTTGTGCAGCTTTAAGTAGTTAAAATGGTGGTTTTTATTGTATGGAAATTTTACCTCAATAGAGAGAAATTTTTAAAAAGCTATAAGGGGCACATAGAGTCCCCCGGGAGTCTCATTACAATGCAGATTTTGATTTGGGAGTCAGAGGGGGCCATGACCCTGCATTTTTGACAAGCTCCTGGGTGATGACACTGATTCTCACCCGTGGCCACTTCTAGAGCAGTAAGGCCACTCGAAGGGCCCTTGCTGTGTTATTCACAGTTCTGGGTCGCCTCGGTGCCTCACCTCTGTGAACCAGCCCCCACCCTGTCTGCCCCTATAAATAATGAGGATGGGAGCACAGGCTACCAGGGAGGTCTGAGCCCAGAGGGGGACACAGGCCTCAGGGCGTGGGAGTAGAGGGACGAGGGGCTGTGGTTAGAGGGGTCTCTGTCAGCAGACACAGGAGACCAAAGGAGTAGTGTTTATTTCCCACAGAGCTGGGGAAGGAAGGCAAGAAGACATGGCTCCGCTCTCAGGCAGTGCCATCCAGCTGGTGTGTCGCCTCCAGCTGCTGGGCTCCTCCACGAGACTCAGAAGTGATCTGAAAGAAAGGGGTGGCCTTGGAGTGAGGGCTGGGGCTGCGGAGGCATCCCTGCCCCAGTGTTGTCCACAGCTACCTTCCCTCCCTCCCCTGTCCTGGGGACAGGAGTTCCCAGGGGACACGGACTCAAGAAGGGAGCAGGGGCCATCCCAGCCCTGCCTGATCAGTGGGGTACGTCTTCCCTGAGAGGGTTTTGGGTGGGGAAGGAGTGGATCTTCAGAGAGAGATGGAAGGGGTTGAGGAGCTTTGTGGCATGGAAAAGGCCAGTGGAGGAGGCAGCTTCTCACGACGCTGGCAGGGGTGCGTGAACTGTGCATCTCAGATGAATGGGGCCAGCTTTTCCAGGGCCCTGCCCTGATATTGGGCAGAAGCCATCCATAGTGAGGGTGAGAATGGGTGGGGAGGAGCTGGCGGGATGCCTTCAGGAGGGACTTGGGCCCTCCTTGTTTGCCCAGGCTACACCTGTGCAGGGAAGCAACCATTGCTCAGCCCCAGATAATGGAGGCCCAGAGGCTGCCCTGTCTGTCATCAGCACTGCTCACCATCTCCCAGGAGGTCAGGGGCGGGGCTGAAGGGCCCTGGGGGCAGGTTCCACGCCAGCTCCTCCAGCAGACCCAGCAGGCCTTTCACTTCTGCCTCCAGATGCTCCACTGTCTTCTCCACCGTCTGGAGCGGGAGGGAGGGAGCAAAGTCAAGGACAAGAGTGGTGCTACATTCTGTGTAATCAGCCACACCCTAAAAGAACACTTGGCGGTCCCGTGGGGTGAAGTAGGGAGAGGTCTGGGTGCCATGGGACCTGGGTCTTCCTTGTTTAGGCTCTGTCCTCCCTACCCCAGTTTCCCCAGATGACAGTATCCTGGGGGCTCATTCTCTAAGGACTCTTCCTGTCTGCCCTCAGTGGTTCCATCCAGTCACAGGTTTGGCATGGCATGACTCTGGAATGCTTTCCCCTTTTGGACTTTGCAGCCTGAAACTCACATTCCTTTTGTTGCCCCGCCCTCTGGTGGCATCTCTGCCAAATGACAGGTTTGCGATTTTGAATTTCTTTTTCCTTCCCTCCCTCTCTCTTTTTCTTTCTTTCTTTCTTTCAGTTGGAAGTCTCACTCTGTCGCCCAGGCTGGAGTACAATTGCACAATCACGGCTCACCGCACCCTCTACTTCTTGGGCTCAGGCAATACTTCCATCTAAGCCTCCTGAGTAGTTGTAACTACAGACCCGCACCACCATGCCTGGCTAATTTTTTTATTTTTTGTAGAGACAAGTTCTCACTATGAAACTGGTCTCAAACTCTGGGTTCAAACAATCCTCCTGCATCAGCCTCCGAACAAAAGTGCTGGGATTACAAGCATGAGCCACCGGCCCCAGCCAAAATTTTCTTTAGTCAGAGTTCTTAAAGTTTTCTGTGTGTGTGCCATGGACCCTGTCAGCAGTCTGGTGAAGACTATAGATTTTTTTTTTCCCAGAATAATGCTTTTATATATATATAATTACCAAGAACACCTATTAAAATATTATTAAAATATTATTCAAGTAATACAAAATAAACTGTCAAGTCAGGCATGGTGGCTCACGCTTGTAATCCCAGCACTTTGGGAGGCGGACGTGGAAAGATTGCTTGAGCCCAGGAGTTTGAGACCAGCCTGGGCAACATAGTGAGACCTCGTTTCTACACAAAATACATGCCTGTAGTTCCAGCTACTCAGGAGGCTGAAGCAGGAGGATCTTCTGAGCCCAGGAGGCCAAGACTGCTGTGAGCCGTGACCGTACCACTGCACTCCAGCCTGGGTGACAGAGTAAAACCCCAACTCAAGAAAAATAAAATAAAACTGTTGATATAGTAATGTATGTATTTATTAACTGATTAAATGACATGAGCTAACATCAGTCAAAACAAGTATGGTACTATAATGTTGACATAATGAGAAGTATAAATGACATGTTAAGATACTCATAACAACTGAAAAAGGATGAAACTATCTGTGATTTCTAATGATGGCAAAGTCACAGACTGTCAATACTATGGTTTGTTGGCTATATTTATGATGACTGGAAGTGCTAAGTTTCAGTTAAAGGCTTGTGACAATACAGATGTTAATTTTTTTCCCCACACAAGTTTATGGACCCTGGCTTAGAAACTGTGGCTGCATAGCAAAACACAGTGGTTGGATTTCCACCTTCCCATCCTGTAACTACACAAAGATCTCCGGGTGGGTGTAAGCAAGGACCCACGGGAGGCAGGGTCTGTTGGGGATTGATCAGCCTAACAGCTCAGATTAAGAAGGGGGATGTTTGATGCAGTGCCCACAGAGCAGAATTGGACTGGATGTCCTGACATTCCAAAGCAAGCTTGCGTCTGTGCCCCATAAAGCCACCCACCTATCAAGCGGTCCTGAAGCCTCGTGGTCTCAAAGATCACCCTCTTACCTCTTCCATGACGTCTAGACGGTGGTGGACAGCCATGTGTCTGTCGCACCCTGTGCTCTGAGCTGGGTCTCCTTGGGAGGGGCTGAAGGCCTCTGCAGCTGTAGGAAAACAAGTATTGTCACTGCGGGGGCCCTTGGGTACCCATAACTACAGAGACTCCTGCAAACACCGGGCTCGAGTGAGGTGGGACTTGAAGCAAGGTCGGGCAGAGGAAGGCTTGGGTGTGCGAGTTGCAACCACCTCAATCCCTCACTTGTCTGTATGGCCACAGTCACCCACAGACCCAGGTAGACGTCCTCATGGAGTTGCTGCCTGAACGGAGAAGGGTCAGGAAGAAAGGAAAGGTGGGAGAATGGCACTTTCAAAGGCAGAGAGGCCTAAGTGAACATGGTTCACTGTACAAACCCTGCAAGGAGTCTGCGGTGGCTGGTAATACTGAGTGAGACTGGAGAGAGGAACCCTGGAAATGAAGTCCAGAGGACACAGCTTTTGCCCAGGGGCCTTATTAAGCCAGTTCTGATGCTTGTTTGCTTTTGAGTCGAAGAAGTCTGACTCTGTCACCCAGGCTGGAGTGCAGTGGCACAGTCACAGCTATCACAGCCTCGACCTGCTCGGCTCAGGTGCTCCTTCTCCTCAGCCTTCCAAGTAGCTGGGACTACAGGTCCAAGCTACCATGTCCGGCTAATTTTTTGATTTATTGTAGAGATGAGGTCTCACCAAGTTACCCAGGCTGGCCTCGAACCCCTGAGCTCAGGCGATTCTCTCACCTCTGCCTCCCAAAGTGCTGTGGTTACAGATGTAAGCCACCACGCCCAGCTATATTTTGGGGTTTGTTTTAACAGAAGAGTCATACCTGAATTTTTAAAATATAGAGAGCTGGGCTCGGTGGCTCAGCCTGTAATCCCACGCTTTGGGAGGCTAGGTGAGTGGATTGCCTGAGCCTGCAGGTTCGAGACCCACCTGGGCAACTTGGCGAGAC